GTATTCAGACCCCTTGACTTTTTCCACATGGTGTTTCGTTAAAGCCTTACTCTAAAATTGATTAAATAAATAAAAATCCTCAACAATCTACACACAATACGCCATAAAGACAAAGTGAAAACAAGTTTGTAGAAATTTTTGCAAATGTATTCAAATAGAAAAACAGAAATACCTTATTTACATACGTATTCAGACCCTTTTCTATCAGACTAGAAATTGAGCTCAGGTGCATCATGTTTCCATTGATTATCCTTGAGATGTTTCTATAACTTGATTGGAGTCCACCTGTGGTAAATTCAATTGGATTGGACATGATTTGGGAAGGCACACACCTGTCTATATAAGGACCCAAAACCAAACCATGTGGTCGAAGGAATTGTCCGTAGAGCTCCGAGATAGGATTGTGTCGAGGCACAGATCTGGGGAAGGGTACAAACAAACTTCTGCAGCATTGAAGGTCCCCAGGAACACAGTGGCCTCCATCATTCTTAAATGGAAGAAGTTTGGAACCACCAAGACTCTTCCTAGAGCTGGCCGCTTGGCCAAACTGAGCAATCGGGGAGAAGGGCCTTGGTCAGGGAGGTGACCAAGAACCCGATGGACACTCTGACAGAGCTGTAGAGTTCCTCTGTGGAGATGGGAGAACCATGCAGAAGGACAACCATCTCTGCATCACTCCACCTATCAAGCCTTTATGGTAGAGTGGCCAGACGGATGCCAATCCTCAGTAAAAGGCACATGACAGCCCGCTTGGAGATTGCCAAAAGGCACCTAAAGACTCTCAAACCATGAGAAACAAGATTCTCTGGTTTGATGAAACCAAGATTGAATTCTTTGGCCTGAATGCCAAACATCACGTCTGGAGGAAACCTGGCACCATGCCTACGGTGAAGTATGGTGGTGGCAGCATCATGCTGTGGGGATGTTTTTCAGCGGAAGGGACTGGGACACTAGTCAGGATCGAGGCGAAGATGAACGGAGAAAAGTACAGAGAGATCCTTGATAAAAACATGCTCCAGAGCGCCCATACTTGAACTCCATCAAACATCTCTGGAGAGATCTTAAAATAGCTGTGCATCAACATTCCCCATCCAACCTGACAGAGCTTGAGAGTATCTGCAGAGAAGAATGGGAGAATCTCCCCAAATACAGGTGTGCCAAGCTTGTAGCGTCATTGCAAAGAAGACTCGAGGCTGTAATCGCTGCCAAAGGTGCTTTAACAAAGCACTGAGTAAAGGGTCTGAATACTTATGTAAATGTGATATTTCAGGGTTTTTTAAATTATAAATTAGCAAACATTTCTAAAAACCTGTTTTTGCTTTGTCATTATGGGGTATTGTGTGTAGATTGAAGGGGTCTGAATACTTTCCGAAGGCACTGTACATTGTTTGGGGGAAAACATGTAGACAATGAAGTATGCCCAACTGTTGTCTGGGTAGCTCTTAAAGCATATATGAGAGGTTGTATACTGTCTTACTCTTCACATGAGAAATAGAAGAACGATAAAGAATTAGAAATGATTTTAGAAAGAAAGCACAGCTTAGATAGAAATGTTGACACCCTTCAACAGTTGAAAACTTTGAAGCTTGAATATAACACAACAAACACCTGTTCTGCAGAGATTGTTGCCCTGAAATCCAAACAACAATATGTTGAGCAAGGTGAAAGTGGGGGGGAAATGCTTGCTTGGCAAATTAAGAAAGAGGAGGAGGAATGTACAATCCAGGGCATTAAAACCCCAGATGGTAGCATAACAATGGATCCTTCTGAAATGAAGTCAGTCTTCGAAACATTTTATCACAATCTGTATCAATCCGAAGAAAAAAAAGTATGAATATGGATAGAAACATCTCCCTAGGTGAGCTGATGGAGGCCATTAATGACTAATTCCCAGTTGAATTTTACAGACACTTTTGTCCCAAATTATTAAATCTTATGTTACTTATGCTCACATTAGCTCTAGAGAAAAATGAACTCCCCCAATCACTATGTTTGGCAAGAATCACCCTACTTAAAAAGAAAGATAAGGATCCATTGTCATGCGGATCTTTCCACCCAGTATCACTTTTGAATATGGATTACAAAATCATTGCTAATCATCGCATAGAAGTAGTATTACAAAAGTTGATTCACTTAGATCAAACATTTTTTACATTTTAGCAGACGCTTTTATCCAGAGCGACTTACAGTTAGTAAGTGCATACATTTTTCATACTGTCCCCCCGTGGGAATCGAACCCACAACCCTGACATTGCAAGCGCCATGCTCTACCAACTGAGCTACAGGGTTCATACGGAATAGGATGTCTTCAGACAATCTTAGCCTATTTAAAAAAAAATAGAATTCATCATACCAGGAACTTGAACGTTCCAAAGTGCCATTATCATTAGATGCTGAAAAAGCATTTGATAGGGTGGAATGGGCATATTTGGTGGCTGTCTTAAAAAAGTTTTGTTTGGGTGTGGTATTTATTTCCTGGATTTAGCTATTGTTTAAAACCCCCAAAGCAGCTATAAGAACAAATAGACAAATCTCTGATCCATTGAAGTTATTTTGAGAGACAGGGATTCCCTCTGTCCAGTTATTTATTTGCTTTAGCCACAGAATCCCTAGCATCAAAAATTAGAACTCATGGCTCAATCCAGGGAACAGAGCTTGATGGGGAATTGTGATAATGTTGTATACAGATGACATTTTACTGTATTTATCTGAACCATTTCTTTTACATCTGTTGGACACATGGTGCTGTATTTGGATTCAAAGTGGATTGGTAGAAAACTGAAATAATGCCCATTTCTATTATTAAGTAGATTTCAGTGGAAATATGGAATGAAAATGATGTACTTTGAGATCCAAAAGAAAAGTTTACAAACACACACACACACACATACACAGAAATTGAATCAGGGCCTCAGAGGGAAATGTATGTCGGTTGTCTCTGCTGGGAGACTGGAGCTGACTGAACAAACAATACACATTACACCCACACACTAAGACACACACCATACACACTGTAATCACCATCAATAAAACAATCCACAATACATGTTACCATCATCAGGATCAGCAGCATCTTTAGACCACCAGCGTCAGGAAGGACATGGGCCAGTCACAGAGTCACTGGAGCACACACACATAGCCTTTGTACACACACATGCACACAGAAATGAATACACACACACCCAAACCGGAATATACAGAAAGGAACACACACAAGATCGACGTCTGCTCCAGTGACCCAGTCACGGGGATGGGGAAGGCATTATGGCGCCTGGTCTCCTGAATGAGCCCTGATACAGTCTGTCAGAGCCAACAGGCTTATCAGGGCTTGGAGAAGCAGACAATGATTGGGCTATACAACAAATGAAGATGAAGTAAGTGAAACAACAACACATCAAGATCATTGCAAGTAAACCCTTCAAAAATAGCTGGCCTAGCTGGCCTGTACCTGTTATTTTTTTCATAATCTTGGTGATTTGTCTGTAAGGCTTATTAGGCTGCTGTCTTAATTACTGTATGATTGTAGGACTACTTCAAACAGCCTAAAAAAACTTTACAATCATGTGACATTTTTGCAGAACTGAAACTCTTCAGTAAGTGGGAAATGAAACCCATAGGCCTACCCATATGCTGTTGGGGGCCGTTCTCACTCTTAGAATTTTACTTCTCTAGTACTCCTCACACTGCCGAAGCATCTGGCTCGAGAAGATGACGATGATTTCCGTGCTTCTTAACGCTCTCGTGCTGCTGTCGGCGTTGGGCCGAACTGGGGCAAGATGCCGAACAACATCATCGCCATATACAACCCCTTCAGGTACCGTATTCAAATACACACGCGCACACACACACACACAGGTACTACTGTAGAGATCCTCGATATGAGGCACGTTACAATTCCCACCAAGTGGGTCAATGCTATTGGCATGATGTGTAGGGTGTTTGCCTTTCACGCCAGCGACCCTGGTTCGCTTCACTGCCCCACCGTTCGCTACACTGCTTCTGGTCTGGGTTATTTGAAGTGTACAGCAACAAATGTATTTGATTGATTGCTGATGGATGGATTGATTTGTGATTGATTGATTCTCTGCCCCCCGCTCCAGGCCACTCCACCTCAGACCTGCGTGGTCGGATGTTTACAGTGTCATATTCGTATAGCATAGGATTCACCATGTACACAGACGCAATCTTTCCTTCTCCTTCCACCTCTCCTTCTCCCTCCTCTCCCTACTCCACTCCCTCCCCCACCACCTACCACTCTCCTTCCTCCTCCTCTGCCTCCTCCTCTCCCTCCCCCACCACCTACCCCTCTCCTTCCTCCTCCTCTGCCTCCTCCTCTCCCTACCCCTCTCCTTCCTCCTCCTCTCCCTCCCCCACCACCTACCCCTCTTCTCCTTCCACCTCTCCTTCTCATTCCACCTCTCCTTCTCCCTCCTCTTCTCCTTCCACCTCTCCTTCTCCCTCCTCTCCCTACTCTTCTCCTTCAACCTCTCCTTCTCCTCCCCTCCCTTCCCTTCTCTTCTCCTTCCTCCCTCCTCTCCCCTCTCTCCTTCTCTTCTCCCTCTCCCTCCCTCTCCCTTCCCTCTCCCTCTCTCCCTCCTCTTCTCCCTTCTCTTCCTCGTCCCTCCTCCTCTCTTCTCCTTCCCGCTTCCTTCTCCCTCCTCTCCTCCTCTTCTCCTTCCAGCTCTCCTCTTCTCCTCTCTCCCTCCTCTCCTCCCTCTCTCTCTCTCTCTCCTCTCCCCTCTCTCCTTCCCTCTCTCTTCCCTCCTCTCCCTCCTCTTCTCCTTCCAGCTCTCCTTCTCCCTCCTCTCCCTCCTCTTCTCCTTCTCCCTCTTCCTCTCCTCTCCTCGTCCTCTCCTCTCTCCCCTCTCTCTCTCCCTCCTCCTCCCTCCTCTCTCCCTTTCCACTCTCCCTTCTCCCTCCTCTCGCCTCCTCTTCTCCTCCTCTCCCTCTCCTCCTCCTTCTCCTCTTCTCCTTCCCGCTCTCCTTCTCCCTCCTCTCCCTCCTCTTCTCCTTCCACCTCTCCTTCTCTCCGTCCTCTCCCTCATCTTCTCCTTCCACCTCTCCTTCTCCGTCCTCTCCCTACACCACCTCCTCTCCCTCTCTCTCTGCTCTGACTGTGTGTCTGCGTTACATGGCCGAGGAGGGAAAAGACTTGACTCTCTTCAGCCTCACTCAGGGGAACCACTGGAACCTATTACTGGAAAGGAACAATGGGATGGACCGCCTCTCCATCTTATCCTCCTCTCAGTCCTTCCGCTCCTATAGGCTACTGTGGTCAATCACAGAGCCACGCCCCTGGACCAGCCTGTGCGTTACCTGGGAGAAAAAGACGGGCGTGGCCCAGGTGTGGAGGGGCAGGACTGTCAGCATCAGGAAGAGGGTGTTTGGCCAGGTAAGAGGAAAGACAGTGGGGAAGATGAGGGAGAGGGGAGGGGGAGACAGGTTGAGGGGTGGGGGAATAGGTGAGAGAGAGGTATATATACAGTGAGCTCCAAAAGTATTGGGACAGTGACACATTTCTTGTTGTTTTGGCTCTGTACTCCAGCACTTTGGATTTGAAATTATACAAAATGGCAAATGAATCCAACAAATTTGTAGAGTCACAAGCTTGATCTAGTCATTGGGTGCTATGAATATGGGACCAAATACTTACATTTGTAGTACTTTAATACACATACGCACAGCTCTGGAAAAAAATTAAGAGACCACTGCAATTTTTTCTTAAATCAGCATCTCTACATGTATGACAGCCATTCCATTCCAGTGTCTGTTGAATTCCAACACAGGCACACCTCATTCTACTGAATTAGGTACTGATTAGGTGATCACATGAACCAAATTTACATTTTTAGTCATTTAGCAGACGCTCTTATCCAGAGCGACTTACAGTTAGTGAGTGCATACATTATTATTTTTGCATACTAGCCCCCCGTGGGAATCAAACCCACAACCCTGGCGTTGCAAACGCCATGCTCTACCAATTGAGCTACATCCCAAATCTTATTTAACGAGGAAAAGTATAACATTCACTGCTGTGGTCAACACCATCCTCTTGCAATAGGACCACCTGGATGGCAAAAACTGTGCTAATAGTACCTCAAAAGTAATATTAATCAAAAAATAACTATTGACCATGCCAAAAGAGTTGAAAAGGAAAGTTTTGAGTGAGGAAAAGAAGGGTTCAATTCTGGCTTTACTGGCAGAGGGATACAGTGAGCATCAGGTTGCTTCCATCCTTAAAATTTCAAAGACGGTGGTTCATAAGAACAAGGTCAAGCAGCAGACATTGGGGACAACAAAGCTACAGACCAGCAGAGGGCGAAAACGACTCTCTACTGAGCGGGATGACCGCCAACTCATTCGAATGTCACTCAACAACGGTAGGATGACATCAAGTGACCTACAAAAAGAATGGCAAGTGGCAGCTGGGGTGAAGTGTACGGCGAGGACGGTTCGAAACAGGCTCCTAGGGGCAGGGCTGAAGTCGTGCAAAGCTACAAAAAAGCCCTTCATCAATGAGAAGCAAAGAAGAGCCAGGCTGAGGTTTGCAAAAGACCATTAGGATTGGGCCGTAGAGGACTGGAGTAAGGTCATCTTCTCTGATAAGTCCAATTTTCAGCTTTTCCCAACACCTGGTCATCTAATGGTTAGACGGAGACCTGGAGAGGCCTACAAGCCACAGTGTCTCGCACCCACTGTGAAATTTGGTGGAGGATCGGTGATGATGTGGGGGTGCTTCAGCAATGCTGGAATCGGGCAGATTTGTCTTTGTGAAGGACGCATGAATCAAGCCACGTACAAGGTTGTCCTGGAAGAAAACTTGCTTCCTTTTGCTCTGACATTGTTCCCCAACTCTGAGGATTGGTTTTTCCAGCAGGACAATGCGCCATGCCACACAGCCAGGTCAATCAAGGTGTGGATGGAGGACCACCAGATCAAGACCCTGTCATGGCCAGCCCAATCTCCAGACCTGAACCCCATTGAAAACTTCTGGAATGTGATCAAGAGGAAGATGGATGGTCACAAGCCATCAAACAAAGCCGAGCTGCTTGAATTTTTGCGCCAGGAGTGGCATAAAGTCACCCAACATCAATGTGAAAGACTGGTGGAGAGCATGCCAAGACGCATGAAAGCTTTGATTGAAAATCAGGGTTATTCCATCAAATATTGATTTCTGAGCTCTTCCTTAGTCAAAACATTAGTATTTTGTTGTTTAAAAATGAACATTAACTTATTTTCTTTGCATTATTCGGGGTCTGACAACACTGCATATTTTTTGTTATTTTGACCAGTTGTCATTTTCTGCAAATAAGTGCTCTAAATGACAATATTTTTATTTGGAATTTGGGAGAAATGTTGTCAGTAGTTTATAGAATAAAACAAAAATGTTAATTTCACCCAAACACATACCTATAAATAGTAAAACCAAAGAAACGTATATTTTTGCAGTGGTCTCTTATTTTTTTCCAGAGCTGTATAAGTAAATTTGTCCGGTCCCCTAAAATGGGGGATTATGGACAAAAAGTGCTGTAATTTCTAAACGGTTCACCCGATATGGATGAAAATATCCTCAAATTAAAGCTGACAGTTGTAAGATTCTGTCTGTATTTTCTTAGTTCACCTTGTGTTCTTGAACGTAGCCCTGTCTTTCATTTTTGTTCATTGATTTCACTTGTGTCAGTTACTCACCTGGTCTCATCAGCTCCTTATTTAGTTCAATTCATTCTGTTTGTGCCTTGTGAAGTATTGTTCGTTTTGACTCTACTAAGCCTTTTCCTAGCTCATTTATGAGAACCAGTTATAGCCTTCAGTCCTAGTTTTGTTTCACCTGCCTGTTTGCCTACCTGTGTATGACCATTGCCTGCCTGTGACCACGATTCCTGAGTATTCATTACAACAGTCTGGACTCTCATAGTCATGTATTGTTTCAAATCCAAAGTGCTGGAGTACAAAGCCAAAACAACAAAAAATTGGTCACTGTCCCAATACTTTTGGCGCTCACGGCCTCTCAACATGTGTCTTGAGGTAGTTTCAATATCTCTCAAAAAAGATACTGAACTATCTATTAAACTCCTGAGTTTAATTAAATAATTTGGCATAATGTAGATGAGTGTGTTCCTTTAGTATATAGAATGTCTTCAGAATGTTTTCAAATGCATTTACTTTTTCCCAAAAAAATTGTGTTACAGCCTTAATTTAAAATTGAGTAAATTGAGATTTTTCTGTGACTGGCCTACACACAATACCCCATAATGTCAAAGTGGAGTTATGTTTTTTTTTTTTTTTTTTTTTTTTACAAATGATTAAAAATGAAAAGCTGAAATGTCTTGGGTCAATACGTATTCAATCGCTTAGTTATGGCAAGCCTACTGTAAGTTCAGGAGTAAAAATGTGCTTAACAAGTCACATAATATGTAGCATGGACTCACTCTGTGTGTAATAACTGTTTAACATGATTTTTTTAATGACTATCCCATCTCTGTACATCGCATATACAATTATCTGTAAGGTCCCTCAGTTGAGCAGTGAATTTCAAACAAAGATTTAACCACAAAGACCAGGGAGGCTTTCCAATGCCTCGCAAAGAAGGGCACTTATTGGCAGTTGGGTAAAACATTTAAAAGCAGACATTAAATATCCCTTTGAGCATGGTGAAGTTATTAATACACCCAGTCACTACAAAGATACATGCATCCTTCCTAACTCAGTTGCCAGAGAGGAAGGAAACCGCTAAGGGATTTCACCATGAGGCCAATGTTGACTTTAAAACAGTTACAGAGTTGACTGTGATAGGAGAAAACTGAGGATGGATCAACAAAATTGTAGTTACTCCACAATACTAACCTAATTGACAGAGTGAAAACAATGAAGCATGTACAGAATAAGAATATTCCAAAATATGCTTCCTGTTTGCAATAAGGCACTAAAGTAATACTGCAAAAAATGTGGCAAAGCTATTTACTTTTTGTCCTTTGTATAAAGTGTTATGTTTGTTGCAAATCCAATACAACACATTACTGAGTACCACACTCCAAATTTTCAAGCATAGTTGTGGCTGCATCATGTTATGTATATGCTTGTTTTTTTAAGGACTGGGGAGTTATGGAAATGGAATGCACAGGCAAGATCCTAGAGGAAAACCTGGTTGTCTGCTTTCCATCAGACACTGGGAGATGAATTCACCTTTCAGCAGGACAATAACCTAAAATATCTACACTGGGGTTACTTATCAATAAGACAGTGTATGTTCCTGAGTGGCCGAATTACAGTTTTGACTTAAATCTACTTGAAAATCTATGGCAAGACCTGAAAATGGTTGTCTAGCTATGATCAACAACCAATTTGACAGAGCTTGAAGAATTTTGAAAATAATAATGGGCAAATGTTTCACAATCCATGTGTGGAAAGTGCTTAGAGACTTACCCAGAAAGACTCAGAGCTGTAATCGCTGCCAAAGGTGCTTATACAGAGTATTGATCCAGGGGTGTGAATACTTACGTAAATGAGATATTTCTGGATAAAAAAAATTATACATTTGGAAACATTTCTAAAAACATGTTTTCACTTTGTCATTGTGGGGTATTGTGTGTAGATGGGTGAGAGAGAAAAAATATTGAATCAATTTTTAATTGAGGCTGTAACACAACAAAATGTGGAATAAGTCAAGGGGTATGAATTATTTCTGAAAGCACTGTATTATCATGTATTCTAATTATATGCTCTATGTGTTTTTGTGTGTGTGTGTGCGTGCGTGCTTGTGTAGGTGACCAGTGGGCCTCCTGTCTTGAACGTGTATAAGTTTGAGGGGCAGGTAACTGATGTGGAAGTGTGGGACAGAGACTCGCCAAGCTTGATAATGGCCTTCATGTCTGGGTGGCAGTCCTACTACTACACCCCTGGTAACGTGCTGACCTGGTCCAAGGCCATCTACTCCACCAATGGTGAGGTTCTCCTGGAGAGAAACACCTACAACTCTGACCATCAGCCTATCAGAGGCCAGCACCAGCCCCCAAGACCAATGAGAAGGAAGAGAATGAGGAAGTTTGAATGGAAGAAGAGAGAGAGGGCAGAGTAGATGGCGAGAGCACGGCCGTAGGGGAGAGTAGTGATTGCCACTAACCCTTACTTTAGATTAGAAGATATACAGTATTTCCCATTTTCATGTATGACCCAGCGACACTCCTTACTTGTGAATCACTCTGGATCAATGTCTGCTCAAATTCTGATTCTGTGATATCCATGTCTGTCCTGATGGTCCCCAGGGTCAAATTAAGTCCTACTCTGGCTAATGATCATGTCGTTTTCCCCTTGCATCTCCCATGTCTGTCAGCTAAGTATCTCCGCTAGCCAAGTGTGGACATTGCTCACCTAGCTAGCTATCATAGTGCTACCCATTAGAGCTGTGGCACCACGGAAAACACATCACACATTATGCTCAGCACATACCCTGGCCGGGAAATCCGACCTGACAGGGAAAACTAAAACCAATGAATTCAGCAGTTCTCAGGCAGGCTAGAAGCACAATAGTGTTACTGTTGCATCACATTGGATGACCACAAGCGACTTATTGTAGCTTTTTAACATAAAAAAATACAAAAACGTACATACTGCAGCTTTAAATGATTGTTAAACAATTTAAATGATTGCTAGATTATTTAAAAGATTGTTAAAATGAAGCATGTGGCAAATTAAAAGGCATTGATGAGAAACATTTGTGTGTGATATTTATTGGAATAGGCTTAACCTGGGTCTGTGAAACTTGCCCTTTGGCAAGGTTAATACTCAAATGTTACCATGTCAAAACAGCCTCATTGCTATTTAACATAAAACTATGTTATGGAGCCCTCAGCTGTCCTGACTTTAGGAGGAAGCTTGTTCCACCATTGGGATGCCAGGACAGAGAAGAGCTTGGACTGGGCTGAGCGGGAGCTGCCCTCCCATAGGGGTGGGAGGGCCAAGAGAACAGAGGTGGCAGAACGGAGTGCTTGGGTTGGGATGTAGGGTTTGAGCATAGCCTGAAGGTAAAGAGGGGCAGTTCCCCTTGCTGCTCTGTTGGCAAGCACCAGGGTTTTGAAGATGATGCGAGCTTCGACTGGAAGCCATTGGAGTGTGCGGAGGAGCAGAGAACTTAGAATAACTTAAATTACATGGGTTTGATGGCACAAGTGGGGATCCCAGCCAACAGAGGGTTGTAGTAGTCTAGACGGGAGATGACAAGTGCCTGGATTAGGACCTGCACCGTTTCCTGTGTGAGGATAAGGTCATACCCTATGAATATTGTAGAACATGAACCTACAGGAGTGAGTCACTGCTTTGATGTTTGCAGAGAAGGACAGGGTGTTGTCCAGGGTCACGCCAAGGTTCTTTGCACTCTGGGAGGGGGACACCGTGGAGTTGTCAAGTGTGATGGAGAGGTCTTGGAGTGGGCAGGCCTACCCCGGGAGGAAGAGCAGCTCCGTTTTGTCGAGGTTGAGCTTGAGGTGGTGGGCCGACATCCAAGCTGAGCTTTCTGCCAGAGGAGAGAGAGTCAGCTTTGGCAGAGCAGAGCGCCTCTTTGACACAGAGGAGAGCGGTCTCAGTTGAATGAGCTGCCTTGAAGCCTGACAGGTTAGGATCAAGTAGATTGTTCTGAGAGAGATAACGAGAGAGTTGGTCAGAGACAGCACGCTCAAGTGTTTTGGAAAGGAAAGAAAGAAGGGACACCGGTCTGCAGTTTTTGATGTTTTTGGGTCGAGTGTTGGTTTCTTGAGGAGGGGAGCGACTCTGGACATCTTGAAGTGGTCAGGGATGAGTTGATAAGGGAAGTCAGGAATGGGAGAAGGGAGAAGGGGATGCGATCAAGTGGGCAGGTTGTTGGGTGGCCAGACAGGCAGGATTTTATCTGGAGAGACAGGGGAGAAAGAAGTCAAGGCGTAGGGTAGTTCTGTGTGAGTGGGATCAGTGGGCTCAGTAGGCTGAGTGAATGAGGAGCAGATGTTGTCAACCATTTTTTTCAAAGTGGTTGACAAAGTCGTCCTCAGAGAAGGAGGGGGGGGGAGGAGGTGAAGGATTAAGGAGGGAGGAGAAAGTGGAGAAGAGTTTCCCAGGGTTGGCAGAAGCTTGAAATTTAGAGTGATAAAAAGTGGCTTTAGCAGCAGATACAGAGGAAGAGAAGGTAGAGAGGAGTGAGTGGAAGGATGATAGTTCCTCCGTAAGTTTAGTTTCCCTCCATTTCCACTTAGCTGCCCACAGTCCTGTTCTGTTAGCACGCAGTGAGTCACTGAGCCAAGGAGCGGGAGGGGAAGGTTGAGCCGGCTGGGAGGAACGGGAACAGTGATAGTCAAGGGATGCAGAAAGGGAGGAGAGTAGGGTCGAAGAGGCAGAGTCAGGAGACAGGAGGGTGGATTTAGCAGAAGAAGGAGAGGATAGGATAGAAGAGGAGAGAGTAGTGGGAGAGAGAGAGCGAAGATTGCAGAAGTGCATGACCATCTGGGTAGGGTCTGAGTGGGTAGGGTTGAAGGAGAGATGGCGAGAAAAGGAAACAAAGTAGTGATTAGAGACATGGAGGGGGGTTGCAGTTAGATTAGTAGGTGATGAAGTCAAGCATATTGCCTGCCTTGTGAGTGGGAGGGGATTGGGAAAGGGTGAGGTCAAAAGAGGAAAGAAGTTGAAAGAAAGAGGTGGAAAGAAATGAATTCAAGTCAGGCATCGGGAGGTTAAAGTCGTCCAGTACGATGACTGGTGATCCATCATCGGGAAATTAGCTTATCAAGGTGTCAAGCTCATTGAGGAACTCTCCAAGGGCATCTGATGGGCGATAGATGACAACAATGTTAACCCTAAGTGCACAGGTGACTGTGACTGCATGTAATTCAAATGAGGAGATAGACAGGTGAGAGCGGGGGGAAAGAGAAAATCTCTAGTTAGGAGAAATGAGTAGCCCTGTGCCAACATCACGATGACCAGATGCTCTCGGACTATGAAAGAACACATAGGCAGATGACAAGAATGCAGCTGGAGTATCAGTGTTCTCTGGGGTAATACATGTCTGAAGGGCAAGTATTCGGAAAGTATTCAGACCCCTTGACTTTTTCCACATTTTGTTACGTTACAGCCTTATTCTAAAATTGATTAAATAAATAAAAATCCTCATCAATCTAAACACAATACCCCATAATGACAAAGCAAAGACAGGTTTGTAAAAAACAGAGATACCTTATTTACATGAGTATTCAGACCCTTTGCTATGAGACTCGAAATTGATCTCGGGTACATCCTGTTTCGTTTGATCATCCTTGAGACGTTTCGACAACTTGATTAGAGTCCACCTATGGTAAATTCAATTGATTGGACAAGATTTGGAAAGGCACAAACCTGTCTATATAAGGTCCCCCAGTTGACAGTGCATGTCAGAGCAAAAACCAAGCCATGAGGTCGAAGGAATTGTCCGTAGTATTCCGAGACATGATTGTGTCGAGGCACAGATCTGGGGAAGGGTCCCAAACCATTTCTGCAGCATTGAAGGTCCCCAAGAACACATTGGCCTCCATCATTCTTAAATGGAAGAAGTTCGGAACCACTAAAACTCTTCCTAGAGCTGGTCGCCTGGCCAAACTGAGCAATCGGGGGAGAAGGGCCTAGGTCAGGGAGGTGACCAAGAACCCGATGGTCACTCTGACAGAGCTCCAGAGTTCCTCTGTGGAGATGGAAGAACCTTCCAGAAGGACAACCATCTCTGCAGCACTTCACCAATCAGGCCTTTATGGTAGTGGCCAGACGGAAGCCACTCCTCAGTAAAAGGCACATGAAACTCTGCTTGGAGTTTGCCAAAAGGCACCTAAAGGACTCTCAGACCATGAGAAACAAGATTCTCTGGTCTGATGAAACCAAGATTGAACTCTTTGGCCTGAATGCCAAGTGTCAAGTCTGGAGGAAACCTGGCACCATCCCTACGGTGAGGCATGGTGGTGGCAACACCATGCTGTGGGGATGTTTTTCAGTGGCAGGGACTGGGAGACTAGTCAGGATCGAGGGAAAGATGAATGGAGCAAAGTACAGAGAGATCCTTGATGAAAACCTGCTCCAGAGCGCTCAGGACCTCAGACTGGGGCGAAGGTTCACCTTCCAACAGGGCAACGACCCTGAGCACACAGCCAAGACAACGCAGCAGTGGCTTTGGGACAAGTCTCTGAAAGTCCTTGAGTGGCCCTGCCAGAGCCCAATCTAACATTTCTGGAGAGACCTGAAAATAGCTGTGCAGCGACAATCCCCATCCAACCTGACAGAGCTTGAGAGGATCTTCAGAGAAGAATGGGAGACAATCCCCAAATACAGGTGCCAAGCTTGTAGCATCATACCCAAGAAGACTTGAGGCTGTAATTGCTGCCGAAGTTACTTCAACAAAGTACTGAGTAAAGGGTCTAAATACTTATGTATATGTGATATTTCAGTTTTTAATTTTTATACATTTGCTAAAAAATCTAAAAACATGTTTTTGCTTTGTCATTATGGGGTATTGTGTGTAGATTGATGAGGAGAAAAAACAATTTAAATCAATTTTAGAATAAGGCTGTAATGTAAAAAAATGTGGAAAAAGTCAAGGGGTCTGAATACTTTCCGTATGCACTGTATGATGAGATGAACTGAGCCTTAATGACAGCAGATCAGCAGTTTCAAACACTGCCGGAGACTAGGAATTCCACATGGGTTGTGTGTGTGTGCGTGCATGCGTGAGTGTTTGTGTGTTCCTCCAACTGCCGTATCCAAATTTAGATCTCTGAAACTCAGACAGAGCTTCTGTATTGTTGCGGCATTCACAATTTGCAATTATCTGAGAAGATCACACACTTTATATGAGATTAATTAACATTCAATGCAATAATCCTAATAACTGACAGCCATAGAGACAAAAACATGTTAAACCATTAAACCACTTCCCAATTGTTGCAGTTCCATGACAGTCCCATAATAACACATTGTGTATGAAAATGTATGCACTCACTAACTGTAAGTCGCTATGGATAAGAGCGTCTGCTAAATGACTAAAATGTAAATATTTATATACAGTAAGGGAAAAAAGTATTTGATCCGCTGCTG